AACTTGCCCTGTCATGTCATTTTTTGGAAAGGGGGGGAAGGGAAGAATAAAATTCCTTAGCAACTATTTGAGATTAAGTTGGGGGCCACCCAAATCATGTATATACACAAGGCTTGGTGGCTCATGCCTATAATACCAGCACTTAGGAGCCTGAAGCAGGTGGAGAAAGAGTGAACACTCACGTTGGTCTGTCTAGCAAGTTTAAGGACAACCTGGGCTACATGGGATCCTGTCTCAGGAAACCAGACCAAATTAAGTCAATCAAATCATATTTATGGTTCTTACACAGATACTTAAGCTCCAGGGTCCCCGAGAAGCCTGTCTATACTTGGATAAGTTTTATGCTTCCTGCCTGAGTGTTACTCTGTTAACCTCTGTACTGAAGACTGTCAAAGATCTCTTCTTAATGAACTCCAGCTCTGCTTCCTACTGGTTTACCCTGAAATTCCTTACTGCAGCAAACTTCTGCCTCACCTCAGTAAAATTCTCCAAATCAGACCCTCCAAGGTTGTTAGGGAGCGCAGAGCAGTAGGCTTTCACCACAACAACTGCTGACGTTGCATTTTTGGAAGATAGACTATGAAAGGTGGAGACAAGAGTAGGGATATCAATTTTAGTGGGCTATTGTGGTGTTCTAAGCCAAAGCTGATGGTACCAGTAGAAGTGGGGAGTTGTAGCTGAACCTCAGATGCATTTTGAAATTGCAATGAAATGAAATTAGCTGTAAATAAGATAGATCTAGAGAAGGACCCCAGAGTCACAGCCTAAGTAGGAAGAATGGTAATGCCATTTACTGAAAATCCAGAGGGAAGATGAGAAAGAACATATCAGTGGAGGAAATCCAGTTCTTGCAAACATAAGGATTTAACATACTTGTTAGGTCTTTGGGAGAGATGCTGTGGGCAGTTGTTCATGAGTGAAGCTCAAAGAAGAGGGTCATATTGAATAAATAATTTGGAAGGTAACAGTTACTCAATGAGTGCTAAAGCTAAGACCCCCTCAGTGTAGTAATCTAAGGACTGAATGTAGACAGAAGATGTAACGTAAAGATTGAGCATCGAGCTGTAGAACACTTCAGTGTTGAAATGCTGGGCATAGGAAAAGTAAACAGAAGAGTAGAAGAAAGTGCCTCTGGATGAAGAGAGCGATCATCAGTGTTTAAGCTGCTGATGAACATGAGGCGTGACCATTGCCAATTAGATTCTGCCATGTGATATCACCGGTGATCTGGAAAATCGTATTGGTATGTGATGGAGGAACACCTGGAACTAGGTTCAAGAGATCGTAATGCTGTAAAGGAAGTGACACAATATAAGAAGTCTCTGTTGAGTTTTCCCTGCGGGAGAAGAATGGAAACAGATGTGTGTCAAGAACCCAGCTACTGATTTACTTCATTGTTTTTATGTCTTGTTTTTCTGTGTGTCTATGACTATGATACAAGTCAGTTCTGAATTTTAGTTTTTATTTCTGTGACTCCATATCATGAGGTTTCTATATGACCAAGCTCTGTATTTGTACTTTGATTTTACAACATTCTGTTGTGTTGTACTTCTTGTGACAATTTTCCCCCATCGAGGAGATTTAGATTAACCTAATCAGGTATACACTTACCTTTGTCTTCTGTTAGAACTATTTCTTCAGGAACTAATTCCCAAAATAAGAATACTAATTTAAGTACGCTTAAATGTTTTACTCTGTCTTTTCTTTCGTTATCTGTACATGTTTCTCTCTTTTCCTAGTACCTCAGGGATTTTCACAGTGAACTCTAAGTCTATGGATATATTCTTATTATAGCTTTGTGCCTTTTCTTAAAATTTATGGAGATACTTCATGCGATGTCCCCATTACCTTCTCTAGTAATTGTGCAAGGCAAGGAAGAATATGATACAGTATTTCTTTTTTTTTTTTGGTTTTTACGAGACAGGGTTTCTCTGTTTTGGAGGCTGTCGGTCCAGCCTGGCCTCGAACTCACAGAGATCCGCCTGCCTCTGCCTCCCGAGTGCTGGGATTAAAGGCATGCGCCACCACTGCCCGGCTGATACAGTATTTTGGCTCACAGACATGCTCTAGAATCCGTTACCTAAAAAGCTTAAAGAGGAGGGTGAGGTTTACTGGGTTATAGACTCCAAAGCACATTGGGGCTACCTTGGGACCTTTGAGCAATTGTTGTATACAAGTTTTATTGAGAATCGCTGACAGACTCTCTGGAGTCACACCCACATATTTTATTATTTTTTTAAACCAGGCCATTGAGTAGATAGTTCAAACTAAGAACCAATCCATTAGATGGGCGCAGGATGTAGTAAAGCCCCCCTCTTTTCCCTTCCAAAGCTCCATCTCTCTTAAATCAAGTTCCCATCACAAACTGAGGCTAACTAAAAAACAGTGGTCTTTCTGTGGATGACTCTGAGGCAAGACTGATCAGCGAGCCTCTGAAAGCTTGCGAATGGTATGCCATTTAGCAAAGGAGTCTGAGAGCCAGGAACTACAGGGCTGTAAGTCCATGGTTCTTTCAATTGTCTAACTCTAAGGTTCTCACCTGCCCTTTCCTGCGTTACCGGCCCTTCCAGGACGGCACTGTGGGTACACCTAGATTGTTGCTGCCAAAGGTTCTTGACATTTGCTCCACCGTAACAGTTTTATACTCAACCCCTTAAAATAGTTGTCAATATTTCCTCTGAAGTTCTTCCCTTAGTACTTCCTCCTGCTATGCCATGTTTAGTTTCCATCTTTGCCACTGTGAGGTATCATGGCACCCCCATGGCTAGTGCCAGCCCTGAAGAATAAATGCTTGATGGGTGAGTCCAACAATAAAATGGAAAGGGAGGATTTTTGTGTCGTTGGTTAGGAGTTAACGTGGATCATAAGTAGCTCCTCTGTAGTGGTTTAGATTGTGAGCATAATTTCTTCAGGATAGCTTGTAGAGAAATGCCTTTCCATTTTATTCTCTGACGATGTCATCATTTTGTATGAACTTTTAAGGTCCACCCTACTGTCTAGTCTTCCTTTCTCCTGATAGTGTCCCACAAGAAGAGGAGAGGTCTGTTTTCCCATGACTGTCTATGTATGAATTGAACACTGTTCACCAAAGGAGAATATTACTGGGGAGAAGGAAAAAAGTCATACAAAGAAGGCACTTGAGGCCTTTGTCACCTATGTACTTGATCACTTTTCCTGCATATTCCCATCTTACTCTTGCTGTTTTGAGACTTCCTCACTCTCCTTGGGTCTCAAAGCATCTGGATGAGTGGTTCTTAACCTGTGGGTTGCAACCCCTTTAGGGGTCAAATGACCTTTCACAGGGGACATCTAAGACAATTTATTGGAAAACAGATATTTACATTATTATCATATCCATAGCAAAACTGAAGTAGTTAAGTAGCAATGAAAATAATTTCGTGGTTGGGGGCCACCACAACATGAGGAATTTTATGAAAGGGTGACAGCATTAGGAAGGTTGAGGACAATTGATCTGGATCTTAGGTCACAATATGGCCTGTGATTTTCTTGCCATTTGAGACTATTCACCCTGAAAGGAAAATGTATTCTGTTTGAATCTATTTGAAGAAATGAGTTCATTGTTTAAAAAAATATAGCATGCTCTCTCCCTATCTTCCGGCTGGAAACATTGCTCTATATTTCTTTTTTTCTTTTCTTCTAAGCCTTGACATTGAGAAGGCTATTGTGTGGATGCTTCTTGAATGAGCTATCCTAAGGATGGCTCAAATGCATGATGGACTTTAGATTACTTGGTTATTCTGTAAAATTCTTTATTGAAGTCGTCCTCTGTTGTCTGTTCATGATGTTACCACAAAACGCCAGAGACTGGTTGACTTAAGCTGCAGACATTGATTTCCCATCATTTTCAAACCAAGAAGGTACAAGGATGGGGTGCTAGTATATTGAGTTCCTGTGAGGGCCCTCTTCTTGTCTGGTAGGTAGTTATTTTCCTGCTGTGAACTCAGGTGGCTTTTCCTTGCTGCATACATGCGCAGAGAGGGAGATGGCCCTTCCTTCCTATAAAGGCATTGATTGTGTAATGAAAGCTCTGCCTTCATGACCTGATTACTTTCCAAAGGTCTGTCCTGATACCATCGCACTGTGATTTAGATTTTAATATATGAACTGGAATAAGATAAAAGCAGAGATTTTCCTATAAATTCTTAATCTCTTGTTCCTTTATGGTTAATCTAATACAGTGCTTTCTCCAATATTTCAACCTTTCAGTAAATAAACAGGATGTACAGTTAGTACATAAATTCATGTTCTCTAAAGTAGTGTATCAGAAGAAAAGACCATAGAATTCTATTTGCTGCGTTTAAAAGCCAAACGACTGTCCTCGTCTCCATTGTATACTGCACGTTTTGGGATAAAACAGGGTTGTTGCTCATTGTGTCATACATCATAGCATCTCTGCTCACCATCAGAAGTGCGTATTCTTAGGCAGCAGACAAATTAGTTTGTAATATTTAGAATTGAGTGGGAGACCTTACTGAATTAGCAGCATGTCTGGATTGGTAGAAATGTATTGTGCTTTGAGTTCTAGAGAGGCAAGCTAAATATACATGCATTGTCAGCCGTTCTTACCTAAAGTATTTTAATACTATCATCCTCCTTCTTAGCTAATTCACCAAGTAGAGGCAAATTTTTATCTAAGCTTGGTCTCCTGTATTATCAAAGGGTCTGGATAAACAAGATTTTACATGGACCCCTTCAGAGTTGACTTTCCTCATTTGATGAAATTGTTTCAGTGTGATGCATCCATGGATAAGTCCTTCATAAACCTCATATCTATCTTGGTTATTGATCAAAGTTCCCACACACCATTTTCCCTTTCTAGAATTTCCATAGTGTCAACTCCAGCAGTGTCTTTGAAGATCCCATGAAGAGTTTGTTTAAATTCCTTGGAGTCACTAAATGTCATGCATAAAAATCCAGACTTGAAGTTCCTCCCTTGATGCTGAAGAGAAAACTGAAGTGGGTGGGTCTTTTCCTTACAGGAGAATGCTGTGAATGGGGAACACCTGTGGCTGGAGACCAACGTCTCAGGCGATCTCTGCTACCTGGGGGAGGAGAACTGCCAAGTCCGATTTGCAGTGAGTATGTCCCACGATGCCCATTTAGTCTTTCCAGGAAATAACCTCTGTGGATGGTGGGGATGAGAGGAGAGTTGTGCCCTAACATACCAGGATGGGTTTGGAAAGGCTCCATCCTCACGACATAGAACTTCCCACTCTCTTTTAAGGTTTAAGGACTATACAGCAAGTTAAAATGACTCCAGGTTGTCCACTTTAATGACTTTAGGGTTTTATTGGGTAGGCTATATGTTAGTGTAACGTGATGCTGACCACTATAGTGTTGTGGGGTACATACAGTGGGAGTCAGAAGAGGGTGAGTGTGGATGAGGGACTGTCAGTCACTTATGGTAGGCTATGGAGTGGCAGGAGGCCTGTGTGGTGAGGAAGGGCAGGATCTTCCTGCAGGGCAGTGGCTATGGGGTAGGAAATTCTGGTGGTGAGGGTGGAAACAGCTATGTGGGATGTGAATGAGGTTAGCCTATTTCCACACTGAGATCTGGAGAACACAATTCCAGAAATGAGTTGATAAATCAACAGCCAGGCTAGTAGGAGTGGTTTTTGCTTATTAAAAATTTTGGGAGCCCATTCCCTATGGAGGGATACTCTCTCAGCCTAGACACGTGGGTGGTGGGGAAGAGGGATGAAGGTGGGGGTGGGGGACTAGATCCTGCCCCAAATTATGTGACAGACTTTGATGATCCCCTGGGGATGCCTCACCCTCCCTGGGGAGTGGATAGAGGTGGGGTGAGGGGTTGGTGGGAGGGCGGGAGGGAGAGGGAACTGGGATTGGTATGTAAAATAAGATTGTTTCTAATTTAAATAAAAACTAATTAAAAAACAAAAACAAAAAAATCACTTTGTGGCCCTATTTAGAGTAATCTATTTAGGGTTTAAACTTCTCTTCAGGAGCTAGGAATGGGCGCATGTACCTAAAACCACAACACTGAGGAGGGAGGTATGGGGTGACAAATTTGAAAACAGCCTGAGTTGCATAGTCACATGGTCTCATCTTTCTGTTATGGTGACAGAACATGCTTTAGGGGGAAAGGTTTATTAAGTTTACAATTCCAGGTCTCAGCCCATCACCGCAGGGACTTGAAATGTCTAGTCACACCCACAATCAGGAGCAGAGAGAGAATGAACACATGCATGCTTAGTTGTGCTTAGCCCCCTTTCTGTGTTTCTACTGTCTAGGATGGCCTGCTTAGGGAATGGTGCTGCCCACAGTGGACTGGGTCTTCCTGCCTCAATTAAAGTAATTACGACAACCCCATAGACATGCCCACTGGCTAGCCTGGTGTAGACAATCCCTTGTAGATGTACTCTCTTCTTGGTTGTTCTAGATTGAGCCAACGTCATAATTACAAACAAACATTGAATTATACGAAGACGGAAGATGTAGCTCAGTAGTAGAATACTTGCCAAACATGTGTAAGGCCCTAGGTTTGACTCCCAGTGCTGTAAAACCAAATTAAACCATGAAGAAGGATCAGTGATCATATAATAAATCATGGAGACACGGAACACTTGAAGCTAAGAAAGTAGGCCTTATTTTTGCCTACATTTAAAAATGTAACCTAAAAATAGAGCGACAGAAAACTCTGAATAGTAAGGAACAAAGGATAGAAGGCTTCCTTCCACTTCAGAAAATGATGTCATAACTTACAGAGCTTTGTGGGCTTATTATTATTTTTATTATGCATAAAAATGGTTTGAGCAAAATGAAATAGTACGTGAATGTGTTTCTGAATCAAGGAAGACACTGAGCTTCTGTAAGTGCTTATAGATGAGAAAAGAATCCGAGGACTTTCTCTGGTTGCTCAAATGACTAAGTCTCAACATCAAGACCTTTTTCATCACCTTCGCAGTTTTGGTCTCCTCATTGTTAGATAATTGTTTAGAAAAACTTTGTTATTTTTTGGTGAGGGTCAAGTTTGTTTAATGGATATAGGGAACAACAAAACTTCCTAGAATGGCCCAGATGAATAGGCTGTGGATCTGACGTTAAGAAACTTGGATTTGAGTCTCCGTGTTTCCACCCACTGTGTGACATTGAGGATTTATGACCCTTGGGTCATGACTACCTTCTAGACAGAAAAAGAGAGAAGGATTAAATTGCTTTTAATTTTGTTTCTAATTTGGATCTGTAATTAATCGTTTGCATTTCTCCTAATCTTGTTGTGAATTCAATTGATTTAAATATCAGCATTTCAACTTTATGCATATGTTGTTTTAATTAAAGTATAATTGCATGGAGTTTGATTAAATTAACCAAATCTGTGAGAAGCCCAGCTGTTTGGACTAAAATGCTATAAATAATGAATTAACATTAAGGTCTTAGATAATTGTATAAACATTGGTCTTGGGACATTAGATAGTGCAAAATGGAAGAAATGAAGGTGGGTTTGCCATGCCTATGTGCTATATGGATGCTTCCGTCAGCAGGTGGACTGACTCATTACCTAGTCCTGCCCCTCTTCAAATTGCTCTCCTTGCCTCTCTTCTGGGCACTCATTTTGTAACAGCTGCTTGCTACTTCTCTTGACAAATATTGAATTAATGCAGGCACCTCCTTTCTCCAGCATACTGCTAGGTTGGGCTGGCTGAGTTTGAACTGACTGTAGCTAGTGCTGAAATCCTCCTGCCTCAACTGCCCTAGTGTCACAATTACAGGTGTGTCATCCAGCTCTATACTCTTCCTACTCTGTGTCCACAGTGAGCATTTCTATCCATCATGGCTTGGTCACTCTTACCTTTAGGCCAGAAGAGACAAAGCAAATATTAGCAGGTGATCCGGGGTAGAGCTGAGAGGACTCTGTGTCCTCTTACCTTCATCTTTATTTTACTCCAGGCACTTGGCTCTTTCAACCCCATTTTTAAAACACCTGAAAGATGAAGAGTTATCTTTCCAAGAAGATGTTGTTTAAGCCAATCCACAAACAAATGAGGAAGTGGAAAGTGCCCCAGTGTTTCCTCATGACAAGGACCTTACTGCTAAGCGGAGTCTCCTCCCCTGTGAATTGGGGAAATGCTGTGTGAGAATTTGATGCACAGGCAGGATCCACTTGGCATAGGGCTGCCAAAGTGCATCAAACTCAGGAACAGAACAGGAACAGACAATACGATCTATGTATGAGACATATAAGCAAAGCTACTCTAATGAAAACAACTTTGAGGAAAGAGTCAGCCTAGGGCCTCTTTAATTAGCCAAGGCTTATAAAGCGATGACCCCTCCTGATGGCTGGTTTAGGCTGAGATGGCTTGTCACATGATTACTTGGTAGGAATGTAAATGAATAGTTGGCACATGACTGGCAGTATGTGATAAAGGCATTCAGTACCTCCCAGCTCTCCACCATTTCAGAATGTAGTGTATGACCGTCTTTCATGCCACGTTTTGGGAGAGTCATTGAAAAGCAATGAAAGATCCAGTGATCAAATTGGTTTAGGTATGGGACTTTTTAGTAAAGAAAATTTTAGTAACATGATTACAGCTGAGTATTAAGGGGGTGGGGATGTGTAGACAAAGAGCTGCTTTGGATATAGGGGAAGTGACTTCCATCTGTAAGGAAGATGGAGCAGAACCCTAGACCCAGTGTCTGCCCTGGGGCACTTGTGTGCAATTTTTCCCTCCATGCTCCAAATGCTGACTCCGCTGTGTCTGGATTTGGACTTGTAGACAAATTGTTTTAAGAAGCACATTAAATACTCAAGTGTGGGTGGTCCACCAACCTAAGTCTAAGAGCTTCTGTAGCACAGTGTTGTCCATTAGGTACCTGGAGTTGTCCACTTAGGTACCTGGAGAAGTGGGCTCAAAAGAATATGGTTATACATGATGCAGATGGCTATCTTGCAAGGATGCTAGAGAAAGGTTATGGGCGCCTGCTTCCAGCAAGAGTTCAAGCAAGGAAGATGCTCTACTTGCAACTTCCTTAGAAGTGAATAAATTTTTTGTGGAAAAGCATGCACATATAGATTCTTCATTAGATTTATGCTTCCTTTCGTGTTCCATATTTGAAGAATGAAGACCTGTTGTCATTATCATCACCAGGTACCACTAGCTAGCTTCTAAACAAATTGCAGCAGAGTTCTTGGGGAGGAAGGCAGACCTTTCTCTCCTCAGCCTGCCATATGAAGTTAAAATGGAAGTCCACGTGGCAGAGGCTGTTTTATAGACATGGAAGTAATGCTCATTGCATGCGAGGGGGGTTGAGGAAAGAATTTTCAGACAGAGAGAAGATCATGAGCAAACTAAGAGGCATAAGGTAGCTCATTAGATCAAGACAAGAGTCACGGTGTTTGAGCACCCCAACGGTGTTTATTGTCAGGAGGAACAGGAAAGATGGAAAGGCCAGATGGGCTCCGGTATGTCTGCATGATTCTGAACCAAAAACAGAGCTTGCCATAAAGGTCAGTGAACTCACAGAGCATGACCACATAGCATGTTGTCTAAACCAAGGCAAATTTAAAGGTGAGCATCCCTGCCGATGTCAGTGGTACTGGAGGCCAGTGGGGTGAATGAGAGTTGTATCAAGGATACTGAGATAATCACTCCTATTACACAGACACTGGGACATCTATTTAAAACAAAAGCTGGGACTGGGGATGTAGGTCAATTGACAAGTGCTTGCCTAGCATACACAAAGCTCACATTCAGTCCTCAGCACTGCCACCCTTAAATCCGGGCAGAGTAGTGCAAGCATGGAATCCCAGCACTTTGTAGGTGGGGGGAGAATCAGAAAGTCAAGATTGTCCTTGATGGTGTAATTATTTTGAGGCCATCCTGGGCTATATGTGACCCTGGCTCAATAATAAAAGAAACCCAGGATGTACTAGAAGGGCAGCGCCTCCTGGTGCTGTGTAGATTGATGCTTCTGGCTGCTGTCAGGGAGTTTGGCAAGTAAAGCAGTAATTGCGGATGACTGAGGACTGTCAGGGGAGAGTTTGCTACACAGTCTCAATACTGAATCACTGGGTCTAAAATATTTCCTGGTGGGTCTCTGGTGGCAACATTCAGTTCTACAGAATCTGTGCCAACATTTAATGGGATGAGAGTTATTCCCAAGTAATCAGGTCTCCCAAATCCGTAACCTACCTTCCTGTCTTCCTTCCTTCACAGTTTAAGGAAGAAAAAGTGATGTAAATAGAATCTCTCTGTTTTCCAGTGTTATTGTCAGGAGAAGGACCTGAAGTAAGATTCCACTCCTGTTTGGTAATATTTACTTAATAATTGTAATTACATTAATTAAGTTAGGGGAGGATATGCAACACAGCATGCTGCCGTGAGGCCAGAGAGAAACTTGTGGGAGTCAGTCTTACCTTTCACCATGTGGTTTTGGATCAACCTCAAGTTGTGAGCCTTTGTGTCAAGCCAGCCATCTTGCCACGCCAGGTGAACTTTATTTTGGTTTACTGTTCTCCATTATTCTCTTGTGTGTGCATTGAGGACCCAGCATCAGGGAACTTCAGGAATGTGATCTAGGTAACTGTTACTGTGTGACAATTTCACTGTTCAGTGGAACTGTAATAGAAAGGGTTCTATCATTGTAGGGATGCTATGCAAAGATGTCCAGCCATGTGTCTATCCCCAGAAGATCTTAGCTCTCTTCTAAAAATTCCATTGAGAACCCATTAGTGCACACCTAATTTTTTACTTGAAGGAGACTTGTGTACATCCATCTGTAGACTTAAACTCCAGTCTTGAACGTGTGAGGCTGGGCAAGCACCAAGAGGTAGTGTGGGTAGTGAGGAAAACTCCAGATGGGCTACGTTAGGTTCACAAACTGACTGATTGAACTTTGACCGATATTTCACTCTTTTCTTGTTTCCACATTTGTTTTGGTACTTCTGGAGGACTATTATAGAGTTTGCCTTAGGGATTCTCAATTGTGAATGAGTGCTGTAATTAAACAAGAAATCTGCCCCCATGGGCTCATATACTTGGATACTTAATCTCCAGTTGATGGCATTGTTCTGGGAAGGTTTAGGTAGGGCAGCCTTGCTGGAGGAAGTGCATCACTTGGGGCTGGCTTTGAGAGTTTATAGCCTCACTCTTCCTCTAGTTTCCTTTCATCTTCCTGCTCCTGCTGCCGTGCTTTCCTTGCCATTATGGATCTCTAGTGATCTGGAAGCATAAGCCAAAATAAACTCTATTTTAACTTACCCTTGGCTGTGATATCTTATTACAGCAGGAAAAAATGTCATTAATACAGAGATGGGCTTGTTGCTGTCAAAAACCTGACCATGTTTGTTGTTGTTTTGAGGATTGTGGAAAACTTTGGACTAGAAAATTGTAAGCAGAACTTAGCAGTCCTTTCTAACAGAAGCCCAGAATACTGTAGTCTGGAGAATAATGTGGATCGTGGAGGCCTGAATTGGAGGTTCCAGAGGGAAGCAAGGATTTTATGAGCAGCTGGCCTGAAGGCCATTCACAGGATACCTCAACTAAGAATCTATTTGCCTTCTGCCAGTGCCCTAAGACCTTGCTTGAGGTTAAATGAAAAGTAATGAACCAGTTTCTTTGGTGGATGAATTTGGGGACAGTATCAGATTCAGTCTTTAGCAGGGTTGTTTTTTATTAGTCTAATGCAGGTTTACAATGGAAAAATAGCAAGTGGGGCAGAAAGAAATATAAAATGTGCAGATCTTAGAGGAAAAGGGAAAAGATCTTAAGAGGCAAATGTTCCAACCAGGTCATGTGCTGAAGAAAAGGTTGTGATTGTTGATGAGATTAATGCCATTAAAGAAAACCCCCTACGCTGCATTAATAATAAGAAGGGTGCTCCCAGGGTAAAGCCTTCCAACTTGGGAAAGGCCTAAGGAGTTTCCCAGTTCTAGAAAACTTTACAGAGCTCCTATAAATGCAGTCCATGGGAACAAGAGTTCTTCTCAAGTTGGCAGCCAAACGTGGCAGTGCCCTCCATGTAGCTCTTTCTTTTGAGACATGAATGATGCCAGAGTGAGGGGGTCGTGGGTTCTTTCTCTGTGGGTTCAGAGAGCCACTGAAGCCAGGCAATATGTGGCGGGGCTGGAATCAGTGCGAAGAGCCGTGGAGGCCATTGCAGGAAGCCGTGAAGGTAAAGCCTGGACTGCAGTGGAAATCCCAAGGTGTTGGAAATGCCAGGTCTGTGAACATATGACAAGAAGAACTACACACAAGGGGTGTAGTCAGCTTCAGAGACAGGTGTATGTCGCAGGCAGCGAAGCAGAAGGGGCAGGGCTATTTAAATGTTTTGGCAATAGAGCCCCTGATACTAGACATGGAGTTACGGGATTTGATGTTTGCCCTGCTGGGTTTCCGTCTTCCTCTGGTTCTCATTATGTTCCCATTCCTTCCTTTTGGACTGGATTGCATTTTCATGTTAGATATATGTAATTTTTCACAGGTGTCTCAGTTAGGGTTCTGTTGCTGTGATGAAACACCGTAACCTAAAAACAAGTAGGGGAGGACAGGGTTTAATCGAGTTCACACTTCCTTATTGCTGTTCATCATCAAAAGAAGTCAGCACAGGGACTCACACGGGAGGAACCTGGAGTCAGGAGCTGATGCAGAGGTCATGGAGGGTGTAGCTTACTGGCTTGCTTCCCATGGCTTGCTCAGTCTTCTTTCATATAGAACCAGGACCACCAGCCCAGGGGTGGCACCACCCACAATGGGCTAAGCCCTCCCCCATCAGCCACTAATAAAGAAAATGTCCTATAGGCTAGGTCATAGCAGGATCTTTTTTGTTGTTGTTGTTGTTTTGTTTGTTTGTTTGTTTTGTTTTTCGAGACATGGTTTTTCTGTATTGCTTTGGAGTCTGGCCTGGAACTCGCTCTGTAGACTAGGCTGGCCTTGAACTCACAGAGATCCGACTGCCTCTGCCTCCCGAGTGCTGGGATTAAAGGCGTGCGCCACCAACATCTGGCTACAGCAGGGTCTTTTGGAGGCATTTTCTCACTTGAGGGTTCCCTCCTTTCAGATAACTAGATTGTGTCAAGTTGACACGAGTCTAGCCAGCAGAACAGGGGACTTAAAATTAAGAGACTGCCTTTAGTTTCTGAAGAGACTTTGGACTTTTAAATAGCATTGAGACTGGTAAAGGCCACGGGAACTTTTAAGCTGGACTCAACACATGTTACCTTATGATGTGTCCAGGAGCCTGTGAAGCACAGAAGTGAGATGCTTGCAGTTTGAATGAGAAATGCTCTGCATAAGGCCATGTGTTTGAGCATTGAATCGCCAGTTGGTGGCGCTGTTTAGGGAGGTCATGAAACTTTTAAGACGTGGAGCCTTGCAGGAGGAAGTATGTCACCCAGGCTCTGCCTGCTTACAGCCTCTCCTCATGTCTGGGCCACTTTCTTCGCTCCCTGTGTGTGGTGCGATTGCTTGGTTCTCTGCCCTGGTCACCGGCTGCCATCCTCCACTGCCGCTATGGAGGCTTCCTCTGGGACTGTAAACCCAAAGAAACCCTTTCCTCTTAAGTTTTCTCTGGTCATGACAGTTTATCACAGCAGCAGAAAGTAACTGACACAATGAACTACATAGTCACTTTTGACATTTTAATTTCTACTTTTGTTCTCCTCCAGTCATGACTCCCAGGTCAGATCTGCCTCATAAGAATCGTCAGTGCACGGAATAAAGTAGCAAGATAATCTCTGCAGGCTGTGCACGGTCAGGGTAGAGTGCCACTCATGAACTTCATTAGAGGTCAGGACCAGTCAGGTAGACTTCCTTTGACACCTGGCAGACGGTTATACATTCAGCTGTGTACTCCTGCAAGGTACTGATGTCCTAGTGTCCAGAATCCTTAGTAATACCTTATTTTAGGATCCTGTGGTGGTAGATGGCAATCCTTAGAATAAGGTCGTGCCAGGGGAGGGTACGCACTAATCCTAGGTGAAGAGTGTCTTTATGAGGAGAACACACACACACACACACAGGGGACCATTTGACAATGGAGGCTGATGCTGGACTGACGCAGGCGTGAGCCAAGGGTGAGGGGCCATAAGCTACTGTCAGACGCTCAGAGAGAAGCACAGAAGCTCTCTCTCTTCAGAAGGGCCGTTACCCGGGATGACACCTTAATGTCTGTACTCTTACTTCCATGACTTTGAGAGCAAACATTCATGGATTTTAGACACCCAGCTTGTGGCACTAAGGGCACTGCTCAGAAATGAACACTACAGCTATCCTGTGAGTTGTGTTAGCTTGTCTAGCTAGACAGACACCTCCTCTAGCACACAGGTTCACAGGTGCTCACCAAGAAAGACAGTTTGCAATCTTGAAGATCTAGGTGGAGGAGACAGGATTTCGGAGAAAGCAGAGATAGGCAGGTCGGTGTGGGTCCCAGGGAGAGTAGCTAGGTGGTTAGGTGACAGCGCACGTAGGTTGAGTGAGAAGGAAAGGGAGCTGTCAGACTTCAGAATGCTCTTACCAGATATGTCATCTCTATTTTTAGGCGTGCTTACACCACCTTGCTTTTGTGGGGTGGCTAATGGGTGCTGTTTTTCTCCCTTTGTTATTTCCTTACATGTAAGGTTTGGCGGCAGGGGATAAGCCGTGTGACGCCTAACCTTCATTCTCGGCTATTTTTGTTGTTCATTATGGTTTGACAAATGGAGTCTTATTGGGAAAGGGAATGGATTGCACTTGGGAGGCTGTGTGACATGGGATTGGTTGAGAGATTGCAACCCATAGATCTGTGTGCCAGAAGAGCATGAAAACCCAAGACCTGCTTGGCTTCTCTGAGCCTTGGCTTCCTCTCTAAACGGTGATGACTGCCCCGAGCATCAGGATAGATGAGGAATAATACCTGAGGTTCAAATGTATACACACACACACACACACACACACACACACACACACACACACACACAGGCCAATGACCATGATCCCAGTCCTGGCTGTTTCATCTCAAGAAGAGAGGTCCTGCCATATTGCTGTGCATGTACGTTACCAGTAAAAAGAATGATAAAATCATAGCCTGGCAAGCATTGCTGGGGACTCTCCTGCAGCTATGTGCACAGGTCTGCTGGGTGTTCGCTCCTGAACTCCCACACTACACTAGGAGCAAACCAAGCCTCACCTGCGTGTGATCTGTTCTGGGACCTACACACTAAGGTCGGGTTGTCCAGCATGGCAGATTGATGCTCTGCACCCAGATGGCAGGCAGCTCGGCTGCAGTGGGTGCAAGCTGTCAGAAGGAGTCATGTGTTTGTGTGGCAGGAGTGTCCAGGAGGCAAAGCCAGCTTTTAGGGTTGTTTGGGTGCCAGTCTGAAGCCAGCTCATCCAGGGACTGCCGAGCCTGCTGCCTGCCAGAGGCCGCTCTTCTATCAGGATACTGAGGGTCTAATGAATCAGGATGACTCAGGGAAAGCAGAGCCAGCAGCAACAATGGTTTACAGAAAGACCTTCATAGACAGACTCCGCGGCTGATTACCTTTGGCAGTGGATATGTGAGGGAAAAGGAAGTGGAGTCTCCCGTGAGTGGAAGTGACATTGTCCTTTGTGTGTCTGGTGGATGATGGCTGGGCATTTCAATGAGATCATCTGTTTGCATGTTTAGAATAGCACAGGGGTGGTCCTTTCACAGTCGCTGTTAACCATTGTTACTGCCACAGCTATCATGGTGGGTGTTATAGTTGTTACTTGTACAGAATCCTCCCTACATGGACTGCTAATCAGCCTACTTCATGCAGGAGAGGCTATTACAGGATAACAGCATGTGAAGTCTGGGGAACATTAAGATTTTGTCACTTAAGTGACCTGGATCAGTAGTCCCATTGTTGGTTTGTGCAGTATATTTCACTTCCAAATCATATTCTGCCGAGCACTAAAGTCACATGCAAAAAAACCAGGAGATGTTATTTGCATGAACGATCCTGTTTATAAAACACTAGACACCTTTAACAGATACATCAGTTTTAGGAAGGTCAAAGCTGCTACTTCTCTGAGCTGAAGGAAGATTGTGGGACCCTTTGATGGCCCCTGTGATCACATGTCAGTGTCTCATGAGATCTCAGTGCTCCATGAAAAGTCACTTGAGCGATGACCCCATAGTGCTTTGCAGTTTTCCTAGGACTCATGCTTGTCTCTGATCGTTAGTAATAACCCTTCAGGATGTTCCCAGCAGGAAGTTATCCATGTACCGAAAGGCAAAAGTGAAAACTGTGTCCTCATCACACTCACAGCTTCTTGTGTTTTTGTGTGGCTATTTTACCTTTATATTAAACTTTTCTTTTGAACCACAGGTGTGTTTGTGTTTGTGCATGCGTGCATGAGTGTGTGTGGTTTGAGCCTCTGATAAACTGCCATCTCTTCTGCCTTAACAGTTTTAGATTGAGGCTGCATTTGTGTTTGTATGTGAGTGTGGGATTACATGAATCAGTTCTGCTATTGTTTGATATTATACAATCCTGTTCCTTAAGGATAAAGATAACTTGCATCCAACTCAGTGCTGTGCCTGCATGTTACTCAGACAATGGCCAGGTGTGCAGTCTTACTCTTACCTTTTCCAGAGTTTCCTCATGCCAATGGCCAAGAACAGTAGACTGTAAACAATATTCCTACTCTCTGCATGTTGACTGGTTGTGGGTCTCTGTATTATCTTTGATGAAGGTTGAGAGATGTGCAAGTCTGTGTGTGAAGACAAAACCTTAGGGGGCAGTTTGTTACTATGTCATTTCACATAATAATAATAATACTAGGGCCTATGACCTAGCCTGGTACCATTTCCCCTCAGTTAATAGTACAAGGCATGCATTCCACTTAGATGGGGCCGACTGACACAGAAATCCACAGCTAGTCAATGTACAGTGAATAAGAGACTATGGAGGGCTCAGCTCTAAATGGGACATCTGTATCATACACCTTCCTGCCAAAGCTCAGAGATCATTGTAGAGAAAGGGGTAGAAAAACTGTAAGGACAGAGGAAGTAGACATCTATAGTAAAGCAGCATTCGTTGGGGACAGCAGCTCAGTTGCACATGAATTCACAGTGGCTGTGACTGCGTGCATAACACTTGCACAAGATCAAGCCAGCCAAACTCCTAGCATGGATGGCGGAGGGGCTCATGAAATCCCACTCCTGTTTATCAGCCGTGGGCAAATGATGGCTGCTGGGGTGATGGCGGGGGAGATGGAGTCCATTTTCTTCATGGAAATGGCCCTGTAGAGGCTGCCCAGGCTCCAGTAGATGGCCCTATACCATGCACTTACAGTTAGTGCTAAGTGGACTCACTGGGTGTTTAAAAAACAAAGAGAGATCACATGAAATTGGGAGGGAAAAGTGGTGTGAGAGATTGAGGAGGAATTTAAGGGGAGGAAGTGAGGGGTGGATTTGATCCAAACACATTACACGCATGTCTGAATATTAAATAAAACAATTAAAAAACATATTCCTGTTGCTCCAAGATACTGAGTTTTGGCATATCATTTGGTTCTGCTGTTACTGAAAATTATTACCTGCTTCCAAAGTTGTTGTTTCTGTGTGTGGGGGGGGGGAATTTGTGTGTGTGCTTGTGTGTGCATGGATGCAATAACATGTATGGAGGCCATGGGTCAACACTGGGTGTCTTCCTCTAGAGTTCTCTTAGCTCCCACCATATTTTTTGAGACAAAGTCTACTGAGCCTAAAGCCTGCTGATTTGTCTATACTGGCTGACCAGTGAGATCCCAGGGTCAGCTTTTCTCCCTAGGAGTGCTGAGGAGAGACATGCACCACCATGACTTTTATATGGGGGCTGGGGAACCGATATTGGACCCTTAGGCTGTCTCCCCAGTCCTTTTTTTGTAACAGCAGCATTTTGCTGTTGTCACTCCTGCCTCTTAGATCAGGATGGAATTTATTTTAAAATATCAGGAAATGAAAAAGCACGCCCTGATATCTTCATTTAAGAGGCAGAGGGTACTGTTGAGGTTGGGTGAATTTTGGAATGGAAGACCTGTTTTTGAAGCCAGGCGTTGAGTAATGTATTACCTGGTAACTGTTTTCAACTTCTCTAAGCCTGAGTTTCACATCTGGACAGTACGGATCACATACAACTGGCTTCTTATTTTCCCCTTAAGGATTACACAAGGTAGTGTCTACATAACAGCCTATGTTAAAAACATGAATACTCTATTAGAGGAATCACTGTAATCATTCCTCCTTGAATGGTATGGTTCAAAGACTTTGAGCCCCCAAATATACCGAGAGTAGCTTTGAGACACTGAACCTATAGTATAATAGGCTTGGAATGACTTAGAGTCACCAACTGTGTTTGTGTCACTGAGGGACATTGAGGACAAGTTCCTGCGTGTTGAAACAACCAGCCCTGCCAATCATGCTGTCCTGGACTCGGCTCCTTCTCTACTTTCCCTCATATTTAGACAAATATTTGCCCTGTCATTCACTTGTGTGTCTCCACTGCTAGGGTATAACCTCCACTTTGCCTGGGGATTTTGTTTTTGTGTTCTTGTGTGGGAACACCAGACCTTGAGCAGAGACCCACTTCCCCTTCTGCCTGGGAGTAGGCAGCTGTAAGACAATGTTTAGTAAAAACATGTTTACTAAAAACGATACAATAAGTTCCTGGCCACTTCCCCTTCTGCCTGGGAGTAGGCAGCTGTAAGACAATGTTTAGTAAAAACATGTTTACTAAAAATGATACAATAAGTTCCTGGGAAAGGCCTTCCCACAGAAACCGCCCTGACCTCGACCTTGTCCAGAGACTAACCGCACCTTCAAAAACCTACACACATCCACCTCTGGGTCAGAGCAGAACCAGCCAGGGGAGAGGAGAGAGCAGAGGCTTCTCTGGTGGGAGCCTTTCTTAGGAAGTTTTTCTTGAACCTTTTTGGAGCCTGTTTAAAGTTCTCTTTATATCATTGAACGAGTCTCTGTGTTATCAATACCCGACACCCTCCGCACGTTCTCGGACACAGGCCGCGCAGCAGTCGTGACATTCTTGTATCTCCAACGTGGAGAACAAGTGCCTTTACCGCATAGGTGTCCAGTGAGTTTTCAGTTCAGAAAGACTGAACGAGTCCAGTGATGTGATTGTTGAAAGACACGCACACACAGACACTTGTCACCAGGTCAACTCTGACATTTAAATGTCATCACACGTACATGCTGGGATGTCTGAATTCCCGCCTTATCTGTACGTCTCTTGAGATAGAGATTCTGCACTCACCACTGCCCTGCTTGGCCAGGTCTCTGCCTACTGAAAACCATTTTACTTAATTTTCATGGGTATTGGAAATTGCTTTCCATCACTGTCTTACAGATGGCCACAGTGTGGCTGCCATTAGTTCATCCCTAAACAGCAGAGGAAATAAACCAATTTTACCAGATCATGTATATTTATTCTGATCTGTCTTGATTCACCAATTGACCACTGGCAAAGAAAATAAGACATGAAATCTAACACAGAGGCAGACAATGAACTTGGGTTTCCATTCTTGCCTAGTCCTACTTGGACCAGTTGCCTAATTCCACTGGGTCTCAGTTCCCTTATCTCTAAAGTGACTGGAAGGGGGCTGTATTTATAGTGCATATATCACATATTTCGTACTGCCAGGTTCTATGGAAGTGATATGGGCAGGCATGTGTGACATGAAGACAGCTTTGCTAGTTGGTGACAACAGTGTGAGGTGGCCCATGGCTATGATGTTGATCTTCTTGGGCTAGATCAGGTGGAGGACCCTGCCACTATTACATCACAAATAGCTTGAAACGTGGACAATGGCAGTTCAGGGGTAGCTTCTTTGCCACAATTTGACATAGTTTCTTAAGTAGACATGATAATGTATATTAAAACAAATACCTCTAAGTAGTGGTTAGAATTATTTTCCTGTGAACTGTAGAAAATAATTCTATTTCTACAAGTAATGGTGATAATAGGACCGTGAAGCAAGGAAAATGGAATAAATGGTGCTTCCTAGCTGCAAGGATTGCAGGTTAAGTTCTGCATTTTCTAGTTAGTGTTAAGCCTCAAATCTCTACTACCCTGGAAAAGGAGTGAACCATTGAGATGACCTCAGGACACCATTTCACATTAACTTCTATGACTTATGACTTTTATGATATATATATATGCAGCCACCATCAATTATATCTTAATGTGCATGTGTGTGTTTGTGTGTGTGTGTGTGTTGGGGATTCTACCAGTCCAATTTATTGGTGTCTGCATACATGTTTATGTACACAATTCATTCAAGTCTCTATAAGCTATGTAGCAGCTTTGTTCTATAATAAAAATAACTTACTCTTTGAGGATTTGAGTTCACTGGGCTGAAATGTCCTTCCCTGTGCCATGACTGTGTGAGAGAGAGAGGAGCTAAGAAAGGCAGCATTCTAGAACCAGCCAGTGGAGGGGAGCATAAAGCAGCGGTGTCTCTTTCAGCCATCTCCATCTCTGTTGGCACCGCTTTATTGAGCAGTGGCAACTCACGCTCAGTTATGGGACATCCTCCTGCTTCTCACATGGGACACTTGCAAGTCTATATTTGTTTCATGTCTCAATAACTAGATCTACATTTTAGGTAGGGGTTTACAAAAATGATGGTGGTATGCAGTAGTCACATTACTGAGCTCCACCACAAAGACTTCTGGGACTCATGTGGTAGCTTTCTATTAAAGCCCACCAGGGTAACCCTACACTACAGTCTTGTCCTGTTTAATGATGGGGATCATTAGGCAAGTTCATTCTTGCATAAACATCAAAGAATGTGCTTATCCAAAGTGCAATACAGCCTACTGTATGTGTATGGCACATCAGATGATATATAGATGAGGTCTGTCACTGGCCGAAATATTGTACAGTGTGTGAATGTATTCATCGCTCTTCCACCACTAATACAAATCTCTCCTAAATCATTCTTCAGGGAGTGAGAATTATAATACAAGAGTCAGCTGTTGAGATACACATCAGTTTCCCCATCATGAAGAACTCTTTACTGTTCTGATGGTAGCTTTTTCCTGACACAGAGCCCTGAAGACAGGATGGGCAACCACACTTTCTAAACAGCTGCCTGCTCCAGCTTTAAATCAACACGGTTCTAGAAACCTGGTCCTTACCAAATTGCTTCCGGGATGAGTCCGGGTTGCTGCTTCCCAGGAGGAATAAAAGCACCGCCTCCCTTGGCTTCCCTTCTAAGATTTGTCTTTTCAGATGAAAACTGGAACATAGTGCCTGTCGTGACAACGATGCACTTTTCATAGGTCCAAACAGTGCCCAGGATGTGTTTCCCTTCTTTCTCTCTGTGTGTCTCTTAGGAGGCTGAGCAGTTTGCCCTTCTGTGTGTCGGCTCACCTGGCTTAGCTCAAGGTTCCTGAGCACAGCCGAGGCTTCTCAGTAGAAGTGCCTCTGGGAACACAAACACTTCACCAGCCGAGTGCTTCAGCTGATGTTCCTTGGAACAAAACACGGTGCAGGAAGTGCATACAAAATGAATTTTATTCCAGTACTCCAAGGCAATTCAGCCGCAGCCCAGGAGGAAGCCGTTAAATGTGCAGTCAACCAGGTGTCCTTCATAGCAAAGTTGACCAAGGCCTAGGATGAGGCCGTCCTGGACTGCTGACGGCTCTATTGTAAAACAGGGTGGATGCGTGGGAGGTCAGTGTCAACTTGGGTGGGGACTTGTGTGGGACTGGACAAAGTTCTTGCTCTCTGTCACTGTATGGGTTTGATCCAGCATTTCCCACTAAAGCTCCTGGTAAAGGCTTGGACCCCAGCCCTAGGCTCAACTGGGCGGTGGTATAACCTTTGAGAGATGGTTCTAAAGGAAGGAGGAGGAGTCTCTAGGGACTTAGCTTTGGAAACTCCTGGCTCCTCTGTGTCTTCTCTTTCTGTTCCCCAGAAGCCATCATCACGGTGCACACCAGCTACGATACAGCATGGTCCAAAGCAGCAGGGCCAAAGGCCTGCGGACTGAGCAGTCTGAAATGCCGAGTCATAGCGAACCTTGCTCTTTGTGAAGTTACTATCTCAGTATCTGTCATAGTGACAGAAAGTTGACTAATACACTCATGCTTACCCCCTCTGCCTTGCTTTTCTCTTCCATTCTTAACACTGTAGACCAGGGCCTAACCGTTTCTCCAGCTCATCACCACAGTCCCCGTGACTTTTCTCGTTAAGAATTAAGGAGAGTATTTAAACTATGATCTGAATGACCCCAGACAGTCTGGTTGCCATTGGTGCTTGGACTCATGGCCTCTGAGTGTACTCTGCAACCCAACGCTGGCACCCTGGCCCCTTCTCAAATATCGCTATGTCCTCATGCCTCTGAGCTTCTCTCCCCTCTTACAAGTCTCCCACCTGAGTTGGTTTTCTCTCCTCAATACACACCCAGCCACCAAACCTCTCTTCACACCCAGCCACCAGACCTCTCTTCACACCCAGCCACCAGACCTTGTATCTGATAACACACTGGAACGGGCACCCATGAGCCCAGCAGCTGTATACACCAAAAGCAGGCCCCTTCTCCTGTCACAACAGTGCCTTGCGAGCAACAAGGCTTGAGATCTTCCCTTACTGGAGTGGCTTCCCAGATGTCTCCATCTTTGAAGGGTGAAATCCAGGTTCCCGCTCCCCCCCCCCATCTCCTTTAGGTCCTTGTCAGAGGACCAGCCTCTGAGCCCCTCCCCTCCCCCGTATGACAGTGTGTATTGCCGGGACCATCCCTTTAACCATGAGTCACAGCGGGGCTCTGCCCTGTTAGACGGTGTCATTTCCCAAGTTCGTCTTGTCTTCTTTATTGCGCTGCCAGCCTTTCCCGGAGGACGGGGCTTTCTTTCCCCTTATAGCCTGCATGGCCCTATCCACTGCTGTTCACACACAATGTTGGCTATGGTGCTCTGTTCGGAAAAGCATGTGGCAGGTTGATAATAACTACACAGGGCAATGGCGTCACCACAGGGTGCTTCAGACCATCATGGCTACCAATCACTGGCACAGAGGGATCGGTACATTGTTATATGCTGGGACATGGGCCTGAGGAATTTGGTGCACCCATTTAATTCCCCTCCTGCTATCCAGTTGTCCCTGATGCCCCTTCTTTCAGACATTCGGAGGCATTGGAGGGTGTCGTTTAACATCTATGGTAGATAGAATTAGGTATTATGTCTCTGAGGGACCAGGGGCACAGCCCTCACATTCCCTCACTAGAGGACACTTCCTAAGAGGGTGGGCATCCACAGTGACGACAGATGAATACCTCTTCTCTGGCCCAGCCAGCATGACCCAGGACCAGTGCTGCAAACCACTAACTTAGGGCCAGTCTCTTGCGAACTTCTAGGGCAATCTGAGTCGCCATGTGAGTCAGACTCCTGAGGACATGTGGCCCTTTGTCTAAGGCCGCGAGACTTAGTGATGACCTGAGCCCCTCTGGCAGGGGGGCCCTGAAAGCCCAGCTGCCCAACCTCCTGGCTTGTCTGAAATGTCTCGTGTTGTGTGAGTGAAAAGGAGGAGGGAGATACCATGAGCGATGGTGGAAGCCCACATAGTCAGGGCTTTCAGACAGTGTCAGTCTTCATTTTTCCCCAATGCCGGTTTGCAGATCGCAGCCCAGGTTCCCCAGAGAAACAGGACTTTCCAAGTATGCCTGTCATTTCTTCTCATTAGGCTTTAAAGTAGAGCAAAGAACTCCTGTCATCCAGAGTTGCAGATTTCCCCTAAAGGGTACCATTTTTTTTGACATCCTCAAGCCTCTATTAGGCCTCCAAGAGGACCAGGCCAGCCCCGTGGGGGTGCGAGTCCTCTCTACCATTCCACCAGTGCTGCCGCTGCTAGGCTTCACGGTATTTAGGGTGGGGCATGGGAACCACTTACACCCTTTGGTTGGCTTGCTGTTTCCTCTTAGTCTGATTCCCTACCCTGCCTCAGTTTCTAATCCAGGAGCTCCAAAGGACCGAGGAACTGATGGGGACCAGCTTCAGGGGTCTTGACAGGAGGCTGTAGTTCTCTGAGGAGCTGTCCCTACACCGAGTGGCATCAGGGCTCACTGTGTGGGGTGGATAGAGTCAAGCCAGCACTTGGCATGAGGTTTCCTTTCTAGTAATTCTATCATGCCTCTCCCCACACCCTGAAGCACAGTGTGCTGTGGTGTTGTTACTTATGTAAGTTCTGATCACGTTTTTGTCAGACCAGAGTGAGATGCAACGGGATATAAACCGCATAAGTGTTGTCGTACTTACGTTGCCATGTTTAAAGCGGCCATGACACCTGCCACCACACAATTGCAGGAAACCCTTATTAAGAGCATGGAGGTTACTCCATTTGATGCTCAGAGCAGCAAGTCCACGGAACCTTTAAATACACTGATGAGAACAAAGCAATGCATTCTTTATAACTTTAATTTAAAAAGCTGTGCTCATTGTCTCAGGCAATCTTAGTTTTTAAGTCATGGTTTTGGGCTAGGTTCTATAACAAATGGACCCCAATGTAAAAAATAACAACCATTTACATGCTTTGTTAATTATTTGTACTTAATTCAATTCCATGTTTCTCATAGTGAAAGAAATATTGGCTTCAATAAGATTTTTGCTAGGGGAATGTGGATGTGTCTGGATACCTCTATGGTATGTACTGATGCTGTATCTCCCATTGTGTTGATAATTTTGTGTTGGTGTGACGAAAGTGCCTGACCAGAAATGAGGGAGGAAAGATCTACATTTCAAAAAATATATTCAGTCTGTCAGTGTGGTGTCTCAGTCTGCAGTGGCAGGAGTCTGTGTAGCTGGCTGTTTACATGGTGGCAGACCAGGAACCGGAGAGAATGGACTTGAGCCAGAGATGGACTCAAACGCCCGACCTCAGTGATTGAATTCCACCAGCCAGGTCCTACCTCAGAAATGTTCCACATCCTCAAGTGCCACAAACTGGAGGCCAATTATTCAACACACGAACCCATGGCGTGCAGTTCAGATCCAAACTGTGTTCCTGTGCTCGGTGTGAGTCTTCAGACCAAGAGGTTCAGCATAACTGAGAGAGGATTCTGTTTTGAACAGTGTCTTCCGAGATGCTTGCTATGCAGCTGTATCAAATGAACTTGAACCATCCAAACACCAACATTCTGACATGGAACTACTGCGGCCTGGATATGAAAAGTTGTGTGCTGGGTACTCACTGTTCAGGCAGAGCTGCTTGTGAGAAGCAAACAGACTGAGAGAGTGCTTGCCCAATGGGCTGTGACTAGGTAGGGATCCGTTAGAGGAAGTAGGTCTTAGGGGCGGTGCCTTTAAAGGGCGGATCCTTTCTCCTTCTCTTTCTGCTTCCTGGCTGCTGTGAGGTGAGCAGCTGGGCCCCACCTAACCTCTCTGCCATGATGCACTGCCTCCACAAAAGCTCGCCGAAATGGGACCATGGAATGAAAGCTCTAAAGCCGTGGACCAAAGTAACATTTTCCTCCTTTCAACTGTTTCTCTCAGATATTTGTCTGGAGAAATCTAACACATAAACCAAGAGGTTTCCAGTTAACATGTTGGGCTCACCAAAAACAGCTTCTCCCAATGGAGGGAGTAAAACCATGTTCTTTACCATGGTGGAGAAAGACCTTGGGCTGTCTTTGAGAACTTTGTATATGATTATTGTATCAGGCAGGGATGACAGAACATATATATGTAGGGAGAGAGTGTGTACACTACATAGTCTTGTCTTCTCTCTCATATATGTATTATGGAAGGAGACATATTAGATTGGCTTACACGATGGGGTGGGTAGTCTGACACTGGTTGCCTGGATGCTGGACCTAATGGTTGCACAGTCCACAATGCTGAGACCTAGAAGCTCCCGGGAGAGTCACTGGTGCTGTCTACATAGGAAGGTCAAAGAAGCTGGCATCTGAAGTCAAAAGAGGATGGAGACAGCAGCTCAGGGCATAAGCATTCAGGAAGGAAAAGGTCCAGGCAGGCGATTGGGCAGGCAGGCGGGCGGGAGGGCAACTCCGCTTTTACCTCATACAGCCCAAGCAGGGTGCTGCCCATTGGTGATGCCCCATCGATTAATCCTTTCTGTAAACACCCTCACAGACACACCCAATGGTGCATCTCCCAGACTTATTCTAAATCCCACCAAGATGATAATGAAGAGAAACGACCAGGGCTGGAGACTTTAACTACTGACTCTACAGGCTAAAAGCTGTTTAGGAGCTGCCCCTTAGGAAGCTGACTGCTCTGGGAACAGTGGTTTGCAAGGCGCTCTGGTCAGAGGGTCTTTGTCCTGTGATGCATTGTGCAGTGTTCACAATGGGAGTTCAGATTGTGACTTGGGTATTCTGAGTCAAAAGAGGCCAGAAGCATGTAATGTATTTTAAGAAGGTCATTGAAAATTCTGTATTATTTGAGTAAAGTTAGCTTTAGGACTTACCACCCTTTATTTTATGTGTTGTCATCCATAGACTTCCACGCTTCATTTAAAATTGAGATGAATGATGTTAGTGTTTTCATATAACACAGGAAGCTGAGAGAGGATATATATGTATATATATATATATGTATTGTGGTTCTTATATTCTTGTAAACTTTGAGGCTTTGAGGTTCCCTTTGACTTTGTGGTCCATTGGCCACCAGTCTGCGAGGACAAAGTGGGCAGAACCAGTAACAGAGGGCTTTGTGTGGCCTATGAACACAGCAGAAATAGCCTTCCAAGAGACAGCTCCACTTTATTCAAGAGTGAGGGGAGATGTAAAGAATGGGAACAGTGACTGGGGTATCACCTCATGTGTAGTGAGTAGCACGTTCCTGTCATGAAGCTCCTCATACAAGTCTTAATTATCATACGTGGAAGCACAGTCCTATCCTAAAGCTCCCATCTTAGCACCTTGTCTGATTATCATATGGGCAGCATGGGGAAAACTTCTGTAGGGAACTGTGTCACGGGTCACACTGCAGATAAGTTAATCATCAGGGCCTAGAGACATTCGTCAAATAAGGTTGGATAGAGAGCAGGAAGCCCTCTGCAGAGAGGGAGTCCTCCATATTGCTTAGCTTGGAAAGAGCTGCCAGGCCATGGTAGACTGCAACCTCTGATCAACATGGCCTCCCAACATAAGCCAGGATCCTTTGTTCTAGAAATGATTTTGATGCAGCATTGTGACATGAAAAGCAAGGAAAGGAGGGGTGTGTATTCTGGTTTCAGTGAGTACACAGGACTTCCTGAGTCTAGCCAATGTTCTTCCTAACCCCCACACGGTGCTCGAGAAACAGGGCTTCTTCATATGAGTAGTGTACTAGTCCCATTAATAAAAAAAATTGGAAATGGAATTGGAAGAAAGCTGGAGGACATTTTTATTAGAATCTCTGCATAAAACAGTAGGGCAAGCAAACTCTAACCCTTGGACATTCTAACTCTAAACCTTGGCAACTGCCTGAAGGAGGGAGATGGAGAAAATAGGAAGAGAGAAAATCATGCCTTTCAGGTCTGAGAAAATCAGCTTGTTTTGCAATGGTGGTCAACAAGCAGCTGCATGGTGGAATAAGTGTAGAATTTTAGAAAAAGAAAACCCAGAGCGTTAGGGAAAGCATGTGTATGTGTAGGGGGAAACTTAGGACTCCGCCATTAGCCACATGGCGCTCTAAAGACGGCTGCGGTAATGAAAGGGCAGAACCGAGCCGCTAACCACACCCACTTTGGGCTTGACTAGAGACAGGGCTGCTGAACTACGCCACTAGTCACGCCCTCGTTACCACATCGGTATGTCTTTAGAGTGCCACGTGGCTAATGACAGAGTCCTAAGTTTCCCCCTACATGTTTGTCTCTGGACAGGATTGAAAAAGATGACTAGAAAAGACGAAGCTACAGTTTTGGAGCTCAGGAAATCGTGCAGACTTAGTAGAGCACCCTGTGATAAGCAGCTGTATCAGAGGCGAGGCTTCTGAGAAGTACATTCTCATTAAAGGGATAATTATTCCTCCCATCTCCGTAGCACGTGTTCAGATGAATCTGTTTTTCTGAGAGGTGGACTCATGGCCAGGTGATTGACAGGTCCAGTTGGGATAGCACTTTAAGAAAGGAGAAAAAAATATGTTGCATATAGAGATAAGAAGATATAGTCTGTCTTCCAAACAGATTGGAAAGTCCTGTTGCCACCAAGAACAGGAGAGAGAACTCAGGTTTTGTTCTTTTGACCTTGAGGAGGTAGCTTTCACTTAATAGGCCTCAATCAAGCTTAGAATCTCTTGCATTTTTCCATGGGGTCTCTTTAAAGCTAAACAGGGATGGTTGTGATGTTTCTGGGTTCCAAAGTGGATGACGAGGAAGGAGTCCAACCTCAGTGGCTTAGGCGCCTGCTAGTTCCTGTGAGACACAGCGGCTTCTTGGTGTTCTCTAGACTAAATAAGGAGGACAGGAGGGCACAGCAGCAGAAGGAGGTAGGAGTCATTGATAGGGAGGATGCTTTCCAGGCCCTATGATATCCCAAGTCCATACATGTTTGCCCATTTTGAGTAGTGTTGTGTGGCATGTGTGTGGTGTAATCTATTAAGGACTGGAGAGGGGATGGGATGGACAAGTGTCAACTCCTGTTTCCTTGGTTTCGTAGTAACTCTCATTAGCAACATGACTCCAGTTTCACAAACACTTCCTGCAGGTGATGCCCACGCAGAGATCTCACCAGGATATCCATAGACAAGAAGGAGGGGTGGCCATTTGTTTATGAGCATTCTAGCTATGAAAATTTGCAGTCAAATTTTATTATCGCTGCTGCTGTTTTTGTGAGGACTACCATTGGTACCATTGCAGCTACTGCTGCTTCATAGTCTTCTGCTCATGGCTGTGTGTAACCCTCCTCCTCTTCATCTTCTTCCTTCCTGTTCCTCCTCTGTTTCGGCTGTAGAACAAGACACTTGCAGCAACATCCTTGGGTATCTTGGTCTCCCTTGTCCTTTGTCATTTGAAAACTCAGTTAATTGTCAAAGATGATTACTGTTCTTCATCGTATTAGGAAGATCAAAGCCAAGAAGAGGCCACACGTTTAGAGTCCATTAGGAGGTTCAAACAAAGAAGGAGGTACCCCATTTAGAGTCTGCAACCACAGCTCCAAGTGTAGTAGCTGGTGACACAGTTGTCACTGCTGTCCACAGAGGCAGATGTCCGGTGTTGTTGAATGTTTGGACCATAGAGGAACTAGAAGGTGATCATTTCTTTCCTTCTGCTCCTCCAGCATCCCCAGGGCTGCCTGTAGTCCATCTCTCCAAGGCCCTTTCTCTGCAACAGCAGTGATATGTGTGTTTCTCTACTGGGCTCATTGTCCTTCCTCAGCAAGCTGCTCACCAGGCACAGGTTACCATCAATCTACATTGATACTTTCCAAATGTATGGGCACTCTCAGCCTTTCCCTCCTGGGTCCTTTGGAGCCTCTTGTTACCGTGAGTTTCTGTGCTCAAAGTGTGTTTGGTGTCTCGGGTAATATTTAGTTTTTTAGTACTAGGTTCAAAGAGATCTGTCCTAACATGAAGAGTAACAATTAATCCATCAAGTGACTTGTTAATTACTTGACTCCAGCTCGTCATCTTAGGGAAGGAAACACTGGTTTAAAGACGATCTGTTGGGGAAAGTAAATGTGTACAGTGTTTAGAATGTCTAAGATCCTTACATGCAGCGCACCGCATTTCCTGTCTTGTTGGTTACTACCGCCAAACAGAATTATGAAGGCCGCTCTTCCTTCAGGCCTGTCTTTGTAGAGGGCCAGGCTCATCCCTAGCAGAGCTTCCAGATGATGCTGGCAGGAACGACATCTGGAGTCCACTCGGTCATCTGTCTGCGGGCACCATGTTTGGGTTTTTGATTGTTGGAGACAACGCAAGACCCCAGGAAGCTTTGCACTGTGAATTCATATGTGTGCCCAAGGTTATCGAGGTCACATTTTATGATGCTTAGGAGCCAGGCAGATTGCATGTGCTGTGGCCTAATTGACAGGCCTTGCACAGGTCACTCACTCACTGGGTATGGGTTTTCTCATCTGTGTAGCAGGGATAAGGACTGTCTCTACTACATAGGGCTGTAAAAGTTTGGTGAGTTATCAACTGTGCCCATGAGGACAGAGCCTGTCATCTTACTAGGCATGTCTGCTGTCCTTGTAGCTATTTGCCATTGCTGCTGCTGTTGTTGTCATCTGAAAGCACACTTGCAATGTCCCACCTGAAGATATGAGTAGAAACCCGATTGACACAGTGTAGATTTGTATCCAGAACAGAAACCTAAAGCGAGGAGCCATTGAAATACAGCCTCTCATAGTAAGGATAGAATGCTTGATTCATACGTAGGACGTAAGTAAGAATGTTGCCTCTGTCCTTCAATGGTACAAATGAAATGTGTGAGAAGTGTTGAAAAAGTTATAAAGCTTGAGGACAATGCTTTCGTTGTTCAGCTGTAATGCTGGAAACTAATGTAACAGAATAAAGAGCTTGGCTTATGTGACAAGCCCCGTTTGTAACAGTTAGTCTTGTTGTCATATTTGGAAAGGCTATCTAGGTCACCGTTGTGTGGGTAGGTAGCTACCTTGACATGTTTAGGGGATTTTCAATTTGCTCAGTAACAGAAGTAATTACAATTTTGCTTGATTCCCGGAGTCTCTCTTTCATAGCAGGGAAGTCTCCAGAATAGCTCACTAACACATCTTTCCTGTATTTTGAATTGACTGTTGTAGAAATCCGCTCTCAGGAGGAAATGCGCGGTCTGCAAAATCGTGGTCCACACTGCCTGCATTGAGCAACTAGAGAAGGTAAGAGAGCGCCACCTGCTGATGAATGTGTTCAGTGCAATTACTTGCCAAGCTTCTCTGTCAATTTCTAATCTTCTAAAAAAAAATGGCTTTAACAAAACAACAAACCAAAACACAAATGAAACTGTGAACTCAGTATGACTACCATAATAACCATGAAAAAGAAGCATGAGAATGTCACTCATCTTCTTGTCTTCCTAAGTTTAGTTTGATACTATGTTGCTGTGTTGGCTTTGGGGAAAGCCTAGCTAGCACACACCAATCCTCTGCCTCTTCTCCCACAACGTGTTTCCTTTAAGGGGAAATATGCAATAAGCTTCTTAATATCGAAGCTTCCATACATCTCCCTTTGTGAGTTCACGTCTTCCTAAAGTAGCTCTAAGGGAGAGAGCCAAGCCATCTGAAGGCGGCTCTCAGACTCTGCTGCAGACCTCATGGGCAGCATTGGTGTTTTGTTTTTGCTGGCGCAGCATAAACATGTGGCTGAGCTGGAAGGGGCATTCCAAGGGTGGCGTCTTGTCTCCCGACATGGATTCCGAATAGTCTGCTTGTCAACTGGGGGGAGGGAAGGCCTCTGTTAGAGAGTCACCTGCTGCTGTCATTTGTCACTCTTACTCCGTGCCCAGGTGAGACCCTTCGTGGAAGCTGTATGCTCTTGCTGCCGTTTGTAAACACAGTGGGGCTCTTTTAGCTCCGCGCAGTATTGAGCGTCACCAACACCAGCAGCTGCTGTCAACTTACGCCCTACAGCCGTGCCTGCCGCTTTGAACGTCTTCCTTCTCAGTCTTCACTCTGCTTCATGTTATACAGGATCAAAAGTGGCTGCAAGGACGTCTCCCAGCCACAAAGCATGGCAGTGCTGAGGCCCTACAGGGAATATCTGTGCGTGTGTTCGAACGGTTATCACAGCAGTTAGGACCTCTCTCGGGTTTATGCTTTCTACTTTTAAAAAATCTAGCCCAACCAGATGGGTTTGGCCGCCACATGCTTTATCTTTGACTATGATTTCTTCCTCAAATTCACAGGCTAAGAGCGTCTTTTTTTTTTTTAAGTTAGATTTCGTCGACGAGAACGCAGGATCACGGGCTGGAGGTGTGAAACCGCTCTGCAACAATGTGGATTATCTAGTGAGATGCTTTAAGAAGACTAGGAATAGACTAAAATAGATGGTTAATTCTTTGTGGGTTTTGTTTTACAGTCTCAATGTCTACTGCTGCTGATTGTTTTTGGTTTCAGGTAATTCTATACAACCTGATGGTTATTGCTGACATTTCATGCTTTTCTTTTCAAATTGCAGATTAACTTCAGATGTAAGCCAACGTTTCGGGAAGGCGGCTCTAGATCACCAAGAGAAGTGAGTTTTGTGGATCATTTCAAAACCTGCCTTGAACTCTCATGGGTACAATGAACCCCCAGGGGTTCACCTGGGGTTGACAAATGAGTTCTTTCTTCCTTCCTTACACAGCAGTTTCTTCTTGATATACCAGTAAGGACAAGGACTCTCCAAGTCCCTTCAGCACACCGCTGAGGTCTTAATGAATTAAACAGGAAAGTAGAGGTTGGGGAATGGTAGAACTCAAGGGGTAAGAAAGCAAAATCCTTCCTTTGTCTTTTGGTCACTTTCTTTTGGGGTGGGTCTCAGCTATTATGGAGGTGAGGGACAGCAGTTACTGGTTACCCATGTCCATGCCGGAGTCTTCAGAGCCAGCCTGCATGCTGTGTGACCCAGGGTAGTTTACCTGTTCTGCCTCTGCTGCTCTCTTTACCTGGGAAGCAATACACACATCCACCAGAGGAGGAAGTTAGGTTCCGTGCTCAGAACATCTTATAGCCGACTTGTGAAGATAGACTGGAATGGAGAGCAGTCTGTGTGATGATGGGAGGGTGAGGGGAGGAAACAGCTTGGACACAGGACTGCTTTTGTGTGGAGGAGAAACCTACCATCGTTCAAAGAAAGCAAGAGGGTGTGTGTGTGTGTGTGTGTGTGCGCGCGTGTGTGTGTGTGTGTGTCTTTATTATTCTAGGCAGTCTGGAACCAGGCCCCAAATTGTACTCTCTAATCCCCCCCCAAAAAAACCTTTCAAGCTACAGAATCCATCCTCCTCAAGGGCAGTGTGGTGTGCCCTGGTGCTGCCCACTGTCTCCCAAGCACTGTTGGCTTCCAGTTCCTCTTTACGAATAAGAATTCTTGGTAAGTGTGCGTCCTCCACTTCATTTACATTCCTAGTGAGACAAGTTTGAGTTCCACTTAGAGATTTACCCCTTGGAAACCTTCCCAGCCAATGTACTCCTCAAATCAGCCCTGTGTCTCAGTGAGAGGGGGAGGGCAAATCGGTCAGATGAGGGGCTTCCTGGAAGACGTGGGCAGTGTCTGACTCTTTCAGGAGGTGTCTAAGGCAAGGGATGAGACGCGATAGACACAAAGCCTTCTAGGCAGAAACCACAGCGGTGCACAGGCGCAGATGAGAGCTATTAGTAAGATGTGTGACTTGGGAGATGACTAAGAACTAGACAATGGCAGTCCCTGCAAGCCAGGCTGGAAGTCATCAGGGATTTGGAAGTGGGCATTACTCTATTAAAATAGAATATATTATGCTGACTGCAGTGTGCGGAACATCACGGAGTTCAGGGCTGACACTGTTTGGTATGCAGAGACAGTCTGAGCAGCTCTTGCCATAGACTGGTTAAGAAATGATTGCATCTGAGCTAAGAGAAACACGGCACGGTGAGTTTAAAGGAGACAAATTGGCAGGATTTAGTGAAGGATGGGTTTTGGGTGTGAAGGCGGTGGTCCTTAGAATAAGTTAAGCTTCAGTTGAGTAAAACAGATTAGGTTTTGGAAGAAGATGACTTGAGAATGAGGCTGACCTGGGGATGCCCTGGGGAGGTGATGGGTTTACTTGTAGAAGCGTCAGGATTGAGCTGTCCCCTTTGCCCCGAGATGGATTTGCCCAGTACATATGTGTGGTGTGTTTGTAAAGAGTGGTAAGCCATCTGTGAATGGGTCAGCACATACAGAGACTTTTACTGTGGGACTAGAAAAATGCGCGTAGTAGGTATAGAACATGTGTGAGCGGGCTGAGAAGACAGCAGCCGTTTGAAATGTACTGAAGAAGAAAGATTATATAGGCATGGCAAGCTGGGGCGCACTTGTGGCGTCAGATATCCAGGAGGCTGAGGTAGGAGGATTGCTTGAGCTTAGGAGTTCAAGGGTGGACTGGACAATATGTGAGATGATGTCTCAAAAACGAGAAAGTGGTAAAAGAAGCACAATGTTCTATTATAATGAAAAGGAGAGGATTGAGAGACAGCGGGGTGAGAAGAGAGATAGAGAAAGCTGGAGGTGGTTGTGGTCGGGAGAGGGCACTGCAACCCTTCCATGAACTGGGTTCTCCCGCTGTGCAAGATGGCAACACGGGCTGAGAGAAGCGTAGAGACATGGTGGTATTGTTCCGCCCTTGGTGCCGTCCTGCCGAGTTGCAGTGCTGGCTGGGAGGTCACTCAGTGAACAGCTCAAATGAAGATGTTTCCCTTATGAAGGTCACAGGGGCACCTTTGTGTTCTTAAATTGGGGGGACTGAACTTCCGACCAAGGGATGTATGTCTCTACCATTGGTTTCCTACCCCTCTCTATATCTTTCTCTCTACCTCTCTCTCAGTTATAACTGTAGGTGAAATGTCTCTGTTGCAAGCCTCAAGCAATGTTTTCCTTGGCTGTAATACTTCTTTTCTCTAAAACTGGATTTTTCTACGGATGTCTCGTCAAGGACTCGATCTCTCTTCCTTTCACGCCTTCCGACCCCACCTGCCCTGTCTAGAATATTCCCAGCAACTAGTGTGTTGTAATAGTTTCCAACTGAAATTCTAAAAGAAAAACACTAGCGTTCCTTACCTACCAACTGTGACTTAGCTGCTGCTCTTATGTTCAGTTCAGTGATCGTGGCTAAGGTTCCAGGCACTGGTATCTGTACGGATTATTTTTAGCGCATTAACCTGCTCTTGTCTAGTTCATTTAGTCCGTTTTCTGAAACTTTGTCTGTCACCGTTGCTAATGATCATAGGAAATCCTGTAGGTATTTTTCTGTCTTATCCAGTCTCTCAAGAATACTCGAAACATTCACACTATCGTTCTTCTCTTTTGGACTTTCCCCCTTCCTTGGCCCTCCCTGTCTGAGCTCAGGGTCCCTCCCCCAGCCTCTGCATCTCTGCACACCCCCTGGGTTTAGCACTTGTTTGTATTATTCTCTAGCCTCTGCCTTAGGGTCATCAGGAGAGCTGACAGCCCCTGCCTTTATGTTTATCTTCAGTTTATATACTTGAGATTCCATTTGACATGTCCGCTTACTATGTCATGGTCCTCTGAAATACAATAGATCAAAATCCAAACTATTATTATGGCCATAAAACTTTTTTCCCCCAATCTATTTTCACCTCATAAAATGAGCTGTCCAGTTGAAGACATATGGTGAGTGTCGTATTGATTCTTGCTAATTTGTCAGTCCATTTTATTTATAAATGTATTTCACCTCCATCCACTTACCTGCCTGTCAGCAACTTCAACTAAGGCATGGATGTTTCCCACCGTGATCACTGTGGTAGCTTCTCCATGATTTTCCAGTTGCTTCCTCCAACCTACCCATGACTTAGGGAGCATGGGCATCTTTTACTAACAATCAGACCAGGACATTTCTCACTGCTTTCTTTCTTTCTAAAGACACGTGTAGTCTGACCTTGCGTATGTCTCAGCCCTTTCCAGCTGCTGAAGGAACATTCTCTAAGTTCCAGAGGCATGTGACAAGGTATTCCCCACTCTTGGATACTTATGTCTTCTATGCCAGTATTCCAGATCTTTTCAACTCAACCATCACATCCTCAGAGCTGGTCCTAGTCAGACCCAGCTGCTATAGCCAAATACTGTTGACCCTTTCATTAACAGTAAAGAGGATGTTCTTTAAACATCTTTGGTGGCTGCAGAGTCCAAGACCAGAGTGCCGGCATGGCATCCTGCTGGTGAGAGTACTCTTGCAGATTTCAGAGTATTGCCTTTCTCGTCATTGCATGGAAGAAAGAAATCCAAGGGTCTGGGGTCCCTTTTATAAGGCACTAATCTTATTCATGACAGCCCCATCCCCCCTGACCTTCCTTTCCTGGCTACAATTTCTGGGTTTAGAATATCAACATATGGCTATATGGGGATAACCCACTAGCCCATGGTAGAGCTCTTCACTGTTGACCCCTATGAAGAGCAAGCTTAATCAGTTTTGCTAAATACCTTGTCCTGTTCATTCAGATCATGTTTTATGTCATAATTATTTTTGCACATTGCCATTGGCTTGTCTGACAGTGTCTCTCTCCACTAGTGTAAATCCCAGGGAGTGTGCATGGAGTTAGTCCCAAAATAATTGTGCCAGGACATAGATGGACCAAATAATCAATGAGTATGTGCAGCCTGCATGCTTATGTAAGAATGTCCATTTCTTGTAAAATTAATCAGATCTCTTGGTTTATGAAGGGCTTCTGAAGATGAAACATGTGACCATGACTTACTCGAGTTACTTAATTAAGGGACTTTAAGTCATTCATTCAATGTAAATGAAAGAATATTCCTGTTGGAATGAGTTTGACCTGGGCTCAAATCCATCTCCACTGTTTTCCTACTAATTGGTAAGAGTCTGAAGACTCAAGACTGCTGGTCACTGAGTCCTACCTTTGTAAAGCAGTTTCTTAATGTGTATTTGCTGGGCTCCTATGTTGTGCCTTTGTGAGGTCAGTTTTCTTATTTATGATCTATAGATAGATTGGATTATGATTTCTAAGATTTTTTCAAGCATTCAGTGAATCATATTTTGAATTGAATTGGTTGTTTGAAAGTAACTGAACAATTATGTTATGTATTTTTGCCCCCAGTACTGAATATGAACCTTGAAATAATGCATCATTGATATTTTAATACCCATAAGTAATAGCTTTTTCTTTGCCCAGTGCTTGAAGTGGTATATAAATAATTCAGAAACTATGATGGTCAATAGAAAGATATTGTTTTAGAAGCATTTGTTGGCCTTTGTAAGAAAAATATGTCAACAGTCAGATATGCAGTGTAAGAATCTCAAATCTAATGCCAATTCTCCAATGTGAGATATATGAATTATGGTTAAAAGAACACAGAGTGAAAATTTTAATTTCAGCCAAACAGTTCAGGAGCTCTGAATAAGTGTATAAAGAAAAGAGTGTGAAGAATCTGATTTCAGTCTAATAATTTAGAAGATATGAATACCATTTAGAAGAAAATGGTATGAAAACTGAAAATCCGTGGCAAAAAGGGTTAGAAAAAAAGAGTGATTTGATGGTAATGGGTTTTCTTTTCCTTACTGATGAAGGCAGTTGACGGTCTTCCTTCTCCCAAGTGGTAACCACATGTTTTAATTGTCAGATAAATAAGGGATAGTATTATATTCAATTCAAGAAACGTTTATTGATTATCTACTTAGTTTCAATGATGCTTAAGTTGCAGAATAAATTTGTATTAGGCCTAAGAAGAACTCTCAGCAGCAGGATGTGTGACATCTCAAATCATACAGCTAAAGATTTTAGGAACTGTGTTAGCTTCTCCTGTGACACCAGTTTTAATAAGTGTAATCAGTTGCTTTATCTATGCCCTGACTTCTTCAGTTTCTTATCTACTCCTTGGAAGGATCGTCTTATTGATGTCTAATGGTAGAGTCACATGAAGTCTAATGGTCTAACGGTCGAGTCATGTTTCCCATAAAGTTGGGATTTGTTTTTTATATCATAAATGGACTGAGCTTTGGGGTGCCATAAATCTGCTTGCCAAATGGTCTGTGTTCTGGTACAAATGATCAACTCAGCCACCTCACTTATAAGTCACTGTTGGTTTGGGGGAATTATTGGTTTAATATTTTGAGTGGAGCTTTCACTAGCTAAGTGATCCCATGAGTCAGCTGTGATTCCTCATAGATAATTGCATCCAATTCTCCCAACATTTCTTTTCTTAAATTGCTAGTCACTGAGTGATTTGAAATCTCACCAAGTACAGACTTTTCTCTTAACATGAGGTGGTAGTGTTCATTTTCCTTCAGTTTTTGCTAAACTAGCAACTTTTATAGTAAATGTTTCTATGCCTTTTAACCATTATTTGACATATTTATATATTCAACCTTTCCACACCTCACTGCCATTGCAATTGTTTATTGGAATGTCATGAGGGAGCAGTGAATCTAATCTTTCAGAGGAGAGAAGCAGAAACCCAGAGGGAGATAGGTTTGGTAGGGTGTGGCACATCCCGCTGTATGAGGCATTGCATGTGCACTGTTTCAGTTCGATTGGAGGTCATCCCTTCAGCTTCTCCCCCTCAACCCTTCACCACTCTTTGGATCTTCCTTTTATGAGCCACGGCCATCTCCCAGCTGAGGATCCTTCACCCCATTCACAAATCTACATGGGCTTTACTAGGAAGAAGGTGCAGTGAGTGCCTTCTGCTATGCCCTGCCCACTGGAATGGCGAGGCTGGAGGAGGTGGTCAGCAGGATGTACAGTGCGAAAGATTGCTGGGAGTGGACGATGAACTTCATTTATTTTGAGTGTGCTCATGAAAATTGTTGGACAAGTCATACCTACATGCGTTTGCTTGTGTGCTTCCATGGGTTTGGGTTGTAGCTTATAGAAATCTACAATCCTAGACACCATGGGTTTGGATTGTAGCTTATAGAAATCTACAATCCTAGACACCAAATGATGAATACCGAGGATTACAAATTAAGACTTATTCATTTGTCTTTGTTTCCTCGCAGAACTTTGTGCGTCATCACTGGGTCCACAGGCGGCGGCAGGAGGGAAAATGTAAGCAGTGTGGTAAGGTAAGGGCCCAGTCACCCATGGCTACCTCAGCAGGCTCCTCAGGCCTTGACAAGCCGCCAAGGTAGATGAGTCCTGTCTCTAAATGTGATGTCTCCTGCATCTTTTTTTTTTCTTGGTAGGACTTCTTTCTCTGGGTCTCCTTTTCGGTTCTTCTAGATGTCTCTATAGTCAGTGAAAATATAAATAAAAGGAAATGTTTTTTTTCCAGAGTGATGGCTACATTGATACAAGGACCTGTTGAATTTTGAAAAAGGAAGTTTGCCCATTTGGTTACGTCACTGGTCCATCCTATTTATTTGATCAGCAATATCAAACAAACAAAAACATTAAAAGATAAAATAAAAAGAGGGTGGTTTAGCTGATTCACAAGTGTGGACATATATATCATGATAGATAACTTTATGCAGACTGTCTAGAATACCACACAGTCTGAAGCCAGAAATACATTGCTTTCTAGAGACACTGTTCAGTCTCTGGTAAAAGATGTTTTCTCCAGTGGTGTTTCTGTTCACCCCTCGGGATTCAGGGATTCTTGAACAGTGGGGTGAGGGTAGTGGACAGTGTGATTAATGCCTTAAAATGCTGCACATTCGCCATTGGGCTGACCTCAACTTCTTTGAGACGCAGCTTTTCCCAGTGTACAAAGACTGACTTTAGAGATGCTGTGGTCTGCTAGCACCATGAAACTGTAGGGCTCAGCATGGATTCTGCTGAATGGTATCAATAAGAAACAGATGAGCAGTCAAGATGTACTTTTCCAGAGAGTGGTATAATTTGGGAGAACAGGGAGAGGTTGTGGAAGAAGAGGCTGATGGCAGGGTAGCTAGTTGTGGAGTCAAGGGTGTGGTTGTGGCCATGCCCCAGTGAATACTTTTCTGTAAAGGAAGATGGTCAGCTATTGGTTGGATGGATTCCCACAACACTTTCCTTTCTTTGGAAAAGCACCATCCTGGAGATCTCTGTACCTCACACCACTCAGCAGTTCAGGTCGCAATAGAGTCGGAGGAATTTTCATTTAATGAGAACCCATAAACACGATGTCTTTTTGTGAGGAATATTCTCTGGAGCCATATTACACCTTCTTTGTAGCCTCCTTTAATGGTGGCTTAGTCAGCTAGCAGGGAAGTGCTGTACTCTCTGTACCCTACGATGCCGTGGCCTCGCCTCCTCTGTCCTGTGCTCTTCAGCAGCATCCACAAGTGCTCACAGCTTGCTGAACAGCATGGATATCAGTGGACACATCCTGGTCCATCACACAGTGTTCCCATAAAAATAGTGCTGCTGTGTTCATCTCCTGCGTTTATATTCCTGCTGCCTACAAATTCTTAGATTTGGGCAGTTATGAGATGGATGCTTTTAGGTGTGTGTTTCCTTGATGGATAATAAATAACTCTCTGTGGATTCCAGCTTCTACCCTAGACTGGAGGCAAACTTATGTGTGCTTCCATTTACAAAGGAAGGCATTGAAAAGCCACGTCAAGTCCAGGTGCTTTACGTAACTTCTATTAGTATTGTTGCCAATTCTTGCACTTTCTTAGATTCTAAACCCTACCCAGCCTCTCCCTTATATACACACACACACATACACACACCATCAAAAAGGGAGAGAAAGAGAGAAAGATAGAGAGAGACAGAGAAAGAGAGAGAGCGCGCTTAGAGGAGAGAAGAGGATGGAGGGGAGTATGTTTCATAATTACTCCTTGGGGTAGGGTTAAAAAAATAAGCACTTCACTTGGGGAAACTTCCTTATTTGTGTAAAATTTTGTGTGTGTCTTCTGGTGGGTTGTAAACTCTGGGGATTTTAAAGGAATATTAGTGAGCTATCAATGGCTTCAATTCTACTTTTTAATTCAACAATAAAGTAAATATTTGAGCCTGAATGTGCATTCGGCTGTGTGGGTATGGTTGTTAGTGGCTATCTCATGGGAGAGCCCCTGATGCAGTCGCATAATTCTTCAGCATGAGCTGAACCCCAGCCTACCAAGTGTGCAACCACGGTGTATAGGTTTACATTGCCATTCGCAGTTCTGAGTTATGAAAGAGGCAGAGTGGAGGCAGAACAGACATGGCATCACACTCAAGTCGTTCAGTCTGATGAGTGCGTGATACATAAGGAAAGTATTTAAAATGCTGTGGCGAGAAAACCATGAGAGATGGTGAGGGTCCCAAAGATGACTGCTGACAGGGGACCAAAGAGACTGGAGCCTGTGAGGGTCGCAGTGTTCACCAGCTGAGATGTCCTGCCATGTAGGGACATGCAAATCTCCATTTGCTTCCAGTCAGCAATGGCCGAAACCAATGCAAAATAGAGCCCAGGGCCAGTCCACTTAGGCCAACTTTGTATTATAGGATATAGTGTCTGCCAACCATGGTTAAAGCCAGGATGCATGATAAGTCTGCCTGTAACTAACTATTTGCCATCGTATCCACCGTGTTCATTCAACCCAAATGCACTCAGTAACCAGTTGTCTAAAGTTCTTTAGAATGTCAAACTGCAGAGGAAAACTATAGTAATGAATACAGCTGACTGGACCCTCCATTCTTTCAGAATACCAGGCATTTAAACCTACTTACTAGTGTGTGTAACTTCAGAGACGTGCTTGTCAATCACAATCTGAAAACATATCTTTCATTTCTTTGTTTGAGAACATAAAAAAATTGCAAAAAACCCCAGCTGCCTTTTAAAATTCGTAAGTCAATTTTTTAGATATTTAATATTTTAAAGTATTAGGTACAGTTTATAGCGTTTTAAAATGTTATTTATATTTTATGTGTAGGTGTTTTGCCTGCACATATGTCTGTACACCACATGTGTGAAGCACCCACTCACAGAGGCCAGAAGAGGGTATCACATTCCCTGGAATTGGAGTTACAGACAGCTATTAGCCCCCATGTGGATGCTGGAAAGTGATCTCACCAGCCACCAGACATCAAATCTCAAAAAGCAGTTTTTCATACTACAATTCTTTAGTTACACTTGGGTCTGGAGTTCTGCTGCTTTTCAGTTCCCTAACTAGACAAGACACATCAGTATGAATGATTTGCTCATGGACCATATACTTTCCTGTGTATGCACTTCAGATAGTGTTAAATATATAACAGGAAAATGTGAACACCAATCTTAGATTATAGTGGATACTGTTAAAAAAAACAAACAAACTAATTGGAGATGAATCTGAGGAGTAGTACGTAAAATACATACTTAAAGGACACATAATACCTTTTGCAATAGGCAGATGAGAGGGTAATTGAAAACATTCCATGGGGATACAGTTGAGATAGAACCCTGAAAGGGATGATAGATTGAGAAGTGATGGCCAATTACTCTCAAGGCCCATTCTACAGTGATCTGGAAATGTGTGTACCAACTTTGCGTACACTCTGCTGGGTTTGGAATGACGTGCGTGAGTGAGTCTGTGTGCACTCGTCAGGCAGGTTTTGTTGTTCGTCTGCCAGTGTGTTTGCCCTGCGGTAACCAAAGTGGCCTTTTACCGCTAGCCCTGGGGGCGGGACAAGGGTATAAATGCTGTCTTGAGCTCTCCGCTTGGCCCTTGCCAAGAGAAATGTGAGAAGCCTGGCCTTTCCCCTACCTGTAGCTAAGAGCAAGAGACAATGGAGGCAGTCGCCATCTTACTCTTCACTACATTAGGTGCAGCGCAGAGCTGCTTCCCGGTGTCCTCCTTACCCCCTGCCTACTTCACTTAGTGATGTCACTTGGGTTCCTGCAGGGAGGAGGCCATGGAGGCTGTAGTCAACGGGTTCAAGGTTTCAGTCATGTAAAACCAGTATGGTCCCCAGGATCAACAGGGTTTGTGTTGGATCCGTGACATTTTGCTAAGAGGGTTATGGAAACAAACTTACTCCCCCACCCCCCTCCTTCTCACCCTTCTTGGTTTCCTTTCTTCCTTCCTTGCTTTTTGTGGTGCTTGGAATTGAACCCTGAGCTTCAGGCCTGCTAGGCAATCATCGTACCACTAAGCTACACCCCCAGCCTTTATGTAAGCTTTCTTACTTCTGAAAATAAAGCAGGTGGGAGAAAGCTTTTGGAGGCTATGAATATGTTATTGGCACAGTTTGTGGATCTGGTTTCACAGGTATATGCTTATCTCCACGCTCATCAAGTTGTATATTTAAAAGCTACAGCCTTTTGCATTTTATTTGCATCACAAAAGCATTGAAAATAAGGAGACAAGATGTTCAGGGTTTTGCTGCACACTCAGGTGGATATATCCTTTGGTTTCACCCTGCAGAGCCATTTTGTGGTATCTACTCTTCCTTGAGGTCTCGGGCCTGTCAGTTTCCTCGTAGGTAGAGTCCGTGAAGTACCACGGTTGCTCCAGAATCCTTTGTTCTTTCTTCCATAGTTACCCACTCTCGCATTCCCTTCTGTTTGCTGGGGCCATTTGTGTGTGTGAACTCAAGTCACCGTATGTAGAACAGAGTCTAAAACTGCAGGGCAAAGCCAGCATGGAAACGCTTCTTGATGTCACAGCCATTGTCAACTTCCTTCCTTCCTTGGCTCTTCTGATGCCAAGGTGCAGGGTCCTGAGACACAGGTCCTCCCCACTTTTGATGGGTGTATATCTTATCTTTCTTGGTTCCCCAGAATCTGCCTCTCGGCACCAGCCTGGTAATGAATCTTCAGTTTTGATTTCTAGCCTTTCGTGATCAGCACACATTCTCTATGCACACTGCACTGCCTTTCTGGGCATTACCAAAATGTGATACATTCTCAAGTAAAAAACATTTTCACAAAATGACCACTCCAAAATAGTAATTGAGAAGCAAAGTAAAAAAAAGTTAATGGAGGCACTTTTGAAACATTTGCATTTCTCTCTCACTCAAAGGTACATAAATATTATGAGAAAACCTGTCAAGCCTTTTTGGTGTCCAGGGTATATGACTACAGACTCAGAGGTTAATTGATAAGAATTACTTCCCTTTTGCACATGAACAACTGATTGCAAACTATATCCAAATAACTATAAAAACAATTTAA